GAAGGGTGGCAGTGAGGTTTCGTGAGGAGAGCAGGCAGAGCTGCCAGCTACTGGGGAGCAGGACCGAAAGTTAATTCTGGCTAAGTGACAAGCTGAAGGAGGGCAGTGGAAAAAGTGACAGCTTATGGAGAGCTTCATTACCAGAAAGGAAAGTTGGGACTAGCTCCCAAGAAAATGAGGGTGTTTAGAAGTTTCTATTTAAGAAGCTAAAGAATGATAATGGTATTTTAAGAGATGAATGAGACTACCTTTAGAAAGAAAGTATTTTTTCACAGATGTGATGATCATTAAATGGACTACAGAAATAATTCTAGGAAGAAAGAGATTTGAACTCAGTTACATTCTTTCTGTGTGTGTACCTTGAATAACTCAAATTATCGAAAATGAAAGTTATAATTTATCAGTTTTAATCTTGACCTGAAATTAAAAATGTTAAAGATGTGGATAATCAGAGCTTAAAAGTAACTGTCAAAAGTATCTGTGCTCTGTTGTATCTTAGTGAAGTCTCTTTGAAGATAGGTATTGAACTCTGCTCTCCACTTTTTCTTTTTCTTTTTTTTTTCAATATATATCTAATTACTTTCTATCTGATATAAGGTGTACTATGTAACATCTGCTTCGTTCTCAAAGCCAAGCTGTTTTTCCATTAAAGTCCTGGGAATCTGGGCTATTCTGAATGTACCATGTAAAGGAAAAGGAAACTGTCACAGTGACCATCTCATCTTCTGCCAGGCCACCCTTGCAACAGCATAGCCCATGCTTTGGAATTTCTGACAGGGGCATGTTCTCCAGAAAACCATAATGAACCAAAATGTGTAGTTCCCCTAAGCTCTTAGAGTCAACTTTCTGCATGGCCAGAATAAAGGAGAGATTGGTACAGGATGGCAGCTGAATAATTTAGTGACCTTAGGTCATTTGGTGACCCTATTTAGTCTCACTAACAATCACAAAATGGGCTTACCAAGGCCTAAAATGTACCCCAGTGTGTGAACCTTTAGACGCTCCTGTTGCCTTGGTTTTCAACTCTGATGTGCGTATGATTATTGAAAGTATACGATCCATCCAGAGCTTTCAACTAAAGTTGACTTTTAATTCTGGACCTCCCCACTGAACGTTAGCCTGTTGGATATGTCATGGATATGTCCACATCAAATCAAGACATTAATGTTAGACTCATTTATCAGCTGCCAGAAACTTGCTTCTCATTCCATGCTCTCCATTTCAAAGAAATGCAATGTTGCTCACGAGATTGCCAAAGTTAAAAAAGTCCAAGTTATTTAATGACTCCTCCTTCTCTTTTAACCTTTCAACTATCCATCAGGTTGCATGGTTCTAACACCTCTTTTCTTACAGTTGGTAACTCCTTTTAATTCCAATTGCAATCACCTTGGCACCTTCATAGACCTCGTAAGTGGAAAGATTTAGTTGGAATCCTAGTTCTGTTATTTGCTAGACTTAGAGTCGATATTTATTTATTTATTTATTTATTTATTTTTTTTTAAGATTTTATTTATTTATTTGACAGAGAGAAATCACAAGCAGGCAGAGAGGCAGGCAGAGAGAGAGGAGGAAGCAGGCTCCCCGCTGAGCAGAAAGCCCGATGCGGGGCCTGAACCCAGGACCTGGGATCATGACCTGAGCCGAAGGCAGCGGCCTAACCCACTGAGCCACCCAGGCGCCCCTAGAGTCGATATTTAGATTGCATTTCCTTATCTTAAACAAACAAACAAACAAACAAATGACCTTCCACCTTACAGAGTAGTTATGAGGATTACAATGAGATATTCTAGGTAAAACTCAACACAGAACATGGCTCATAGTAGACATTCATTGGAAGTTAATCTCATGTTCATGTTCATGCCTTTCGTCTTGAGCATTGCCTGGCACATAGTAAGCATTCAAATATGTTTCTATTCATATGTGCATCATATTATGTCAGTGACATCATAATAACCATCGTCAAAGTCTCCCTGCCTCCAATCTTGTGTCCTAATATTCCACCCTCTACCTCACCATCACATCTCGTGATTTATCTCATCTAATTCTTGTAGGATCTCAGTACAAATCTTGGGAGATCTCATGTACATCTCATGAGATCTCCATCCCAATCTTGAGAGAAACAAATATCGTTTTGTCCTTTTTGCTGCACAGAAGGTGCTTTTCTGGATTGACATAATTGCCCTTGATCTGACCTATGCTTCAGTTCCACTCCTATTTCTACTGTACAACACAAACTCCTTACATTGAGGTCAAGGAAAAATCTGTGTTTTCCCCAACCTGTCTTTATCTTAATCTGACAAATTCTAGTACATTGTTTAACATTCACCACAGTGACCTCCTACTTCATATAATCTTCTGTGCCTCCCCCAGCAGAATTATATGCTTGCCACCTAATTACTCTACTCTTGACTTTGTGTACCCAAAGCCCGATATCAAGTAGAGGTAACACATTTGTTGAAATAATTGTTGGGGTATTGGAAAATCATAAGAAAGAAAATAGATTGATGGATAAATAATACATATGTCACATATTAATATAACAATACTGTTTTTGTGTCTATGCCACTAATTCTCATATGTAGGACCTGCTCTGAAAATTAACATTTATCAAGGAAATATATTTGTTTTGGCTTTTCCATAATCACTAATTCCTCCTTAGGACAAGCAGCCCATTTGAAAGTGCATGGATGGTACAAATCCTGGGGCAGTGAAATAACAATACTAGTGGATTGACAATTAGCCAGTAACTTTGGCTTTGGCCTCAGCTAAAGAATTTGTCCTAATATACCAAGAGTTATGCGTTAAATTCTGACAAGTAGGGAAGACTGGTTGAGAAAATGGGCTCTGATTTTTAAAAACCCAAGTTCAAATTCCAATCTAGTACTAACTAGCTATATGATCTTGAACATGTTCCCTGACCTTTTGGAGACTCCTTCCCTATAAAATGGAAATAATAATGGCACATATATAAAAGGATTATTGGGGGTCTCAAATGAGATTTTAAACCTAGTTGCATATACACAAGACTAGCCTAGGCCACATTTGGCATTGAGTCTGCCTAGAAGTATATAGAATAGGAACTTGGCATGATAGTATTTTCAGATGTTCATCATCTGGTAGGAACCCTCATAGAAATCCATGCAGCACAGTTCAACTGGAAGAAAAGTTCTACATCAGACCTAAAAGCTGCCCTGACTTAAAAATCTCATGGTCCACAGAGACTGGTATCTCTTGAAGCAACCTATGGTCACAGCCTGCAAGGTCCCCATAAAAACAAGCCCCACAAGTTGCCACATTCAGGGGAGCCCAAAGATGTGGCTGTTTACCAGGTATTTGTAGCTTCCCCAGTGCAGGTGGAGTATATCCAAAGGGGCCATTTTTTCACAGTACGATGTAGTAACACAGTTGACTTTCCGACTTTTATCAGATATCCAGGGTAACTAACTAGAGGTAATTAACTAGAGGTAACGTGATAGTCACATTCTCTACAAAAGATTAAAAGGAATTGCCAATTCTTCTGCCTGTACTTGGAACATGAACTTAGAAAGTATTACACTGAGGATAATGTATGCATGTTTATATGAAGACAGTCTCATGAAAGATAAGAAATGTATCTAAGAGGAAATTAAATATGGAAAATTTTGTAAAGAGAGCCACTGTGGAGTTAATGATTTGGTCATTATTTTTCCTGATTTTTGTGAATGAACTCATAAGTGTTAGAATGAAAACTGACTCATTACAGAGGAAGTTTTGCTCTGTAGTTAGTGTTGTACCTAATATATTATTAATGCTCAATATATGCCATTTGAGTAAAAATTGGGTTTTGATCCTTTCTTCTAAGAAGAACAGGGTTGACTCACAGGGCCCCTTTACCACAATTCTTGGATGATTCTTCTTCCCAGACCTCTCAACTCAGACAAATTGACTTTTATGCTTTGAGCTCTAATTGTCTCCTAGGAATGCAATTTTCCTACACATGTCAGTAGAATTAAGAAGATTGAATGTGAGTTGTTGCATTAGAATGGACCTGCCTCTCGTATGGTTAATTACCATAGTTAAATATAGCACCTGAATGACAAGACAGAATTATCAGTGCCTTCTCCCACTGGAACAGATGGCTCTATCATGGCGACAGGCTGCCTGTGTCTTGTAAACATGCACTACTGGTTATTCAGAATGGGCAGGAGTTCAACTGAGTATCAACACAAGGCCATCCAATTCCAGGAAAACCGCTCAAAGTGCATATGCCCATAGTCATTGACATTCATAACATCATCTTCGTATATATATATGTTTCAGTTTAGAATCCAACATCCCTCTAATTCAAGTAGGAGTAGAGAGATAAAAGTTTGAACATAAATACTTTACTGATAAGTAAATGTGGGAGATCTGTTACTGAGAGGGTATTCTTTAAATCATGAATAGACATATTTCTAATGTCTCTGATGTATTTGAGATACCTATATGTATATTGTATATTAAAGTGTGAACTAGAAAAGTTGATCTATTTGAATAACCATACATTATCATAGTAAGTGGCAGCTGAAGTTTCAAATGGTATTAAAAATAATGTTAAACTTATATTTTCTATTTAAAACAGTATTGTATTAAGTTAGCCAGGCATGTTTATTTAAATCACTCAACAATGAAAAGTACATGTTAACGGCTCTTGGTTTCACATTTTCTAAATTAAAACAAATCTGGAATGAGTGAAATGAACAATACGGTGAACTTACTTTCAGTTAATTTTGCTTCGACCCTTTATTTTCTATTTCCTATGAATAGTTTAACAACTCTTGCAAAATAGAAGGAAATGCAAATGTTAGCTTTGAGTCTAACTGCTTTTACACATCATAAATGTTGATATATTTTCAATGAAATTGGAATTGTATCTCCAAGTAGAAATAAAAATGTCCAAGCTTATTTTACTCTAGAGCATAGAAGACAAAGTTCATAACTGCTTATTAGTCTGTGATGAGAATACCAATGTTCTTTTGCAGCTTCTGCCAGCAAGAGAACCTGCCAATGACCTTCCAGTCCTGTGTGATCACCAAAGAGTGCCAGGTGTCAGAGTGGTCAGAATGGAGTCCCTGCTCAAAAACGTGCTATGACACGGCATCCCCCAAAGGCACTCGTGTCAGGACGCGGATCATTAGGCAGTTTCCTGTTGGCAACGAGAAAGAGTGTCCAGAACTTGAAGAAAAAGAACCCTGTGCGTCTCAAGGAGATGCAGTTGTCCCGTGTGCCACGTGAGTACATAAGGACTGCGGCTTCCTTTGCCGTGACATCTCCCCAAACTGCGTGTCTCCCCACATTCGCTTACCCAGCTGACACTAAATGAATAGTATGTTGAGAAATAGGGATTTTACAGATTCTTCTAAGTGGGAGAAAATAAAATACTGTTTTTACAGGCACTGTCCTTATAGAATTCTGGTTTTACAGAATAAACGTGTCTTTAGTGACTTATATTTCCAAATCTCTCTGAAGTCTAGATTTTTAGCAGCAATTCTCTGTTGACATATTTCTGTAATAGAGATTGATAACTTTCTTCCGTAAAGGGGAAGATAAGATGTTAGGCTTTGGGCGGAACAGGTGTCTCTGTGGCAGTGACTCAACAGTACTTTTGGAGCCGGAGATCATATATAAACGAATGAGTGGATCTGTTCCAATGAGCCATTATTCATAAAAACAGTGGACAGGTTGGATTTGGTCCTTGGGTCATAGTTTGTCAACCCCCATTCTATAACATAAAATAAACTTTCAAACTATAGGTTCCTGTTGCTTATTAAGCAAGGCCTATTAAAATTCAGGACTACAGATAACAATCCTATCGAATAGGGTAAAATACTACACCACAGTAATGAGCCTTTAAGCTACATGAGGACAGGATTGTGCTTATTAACTTCGTTTTGTTTTGTTTTGTTTTGTTTTGTTTTGTTTTGTTTTCACCAGCATATATCACAGGGCCTGGCACACAGCAAGTGCCCAATAAATGTTTATTGAATTCCGATGAAATAAGGCCAATTCTGAAACATTTAGCTGTGTATCCTAATTCTTCTTATCCTTAAAAAAAATTTCCAAGACATTACTGTGAATTATCTTGGCAATAAATACATTTGAGCCTAGTCTGAGTATAGAATATTGATAAAACAACTTAAAGAATCTTAGTTCCTCAGAGATATGCACAAGCTTCATTGAGAGCTTTTCTGGAATATTCCAAACATTTAAAGAACTTGCATACAACGCAAACTTCACGAGCCAGTGAGGAGGAAAATTAATCCTACTACTACCACTTCAAACAATAATAACAAGTAATAGCAAAGATGATGATTTACATGAGACCTTCAGTTATGCAGCACTTTGGAATCATCTCTTCTCTCCTGATATAACAAGGGGCTGAAAACTGTAGGGAGTTCCCTTCCAAACTTCTCTGCTTATCCCACTGACCCTGTGTTCTTCTCTACGTAATAGGCTTGAGGAAGTTGTCATGATCTCCTGTGGTTTATCTCCTATGAGTTTCTTCCTTTTTTGATTCAAGCTAGGTGTTTTATTCTTTATCCTCTCAGATATTTGAACACCACTGACAAAATAAATACATATCCTGAATCTCTTTCTTCTCTCCCTTTTTGGAGGGTAGCATTTTTTTAGCATACGTGACCAATTTACATCAGGAGAAGTGTAATCCTAGGATGGCCTACATTCAGACTCCATTCTATAAAAAGTAAAATTTTTATTTTAAGTCACCTTATGAATAATTTATTTGGTTTGACATTCCTTGTCACCCCCCACCCCACCGTCTTACTCAAGACATTAATTATCCGTGTTTTCTTTTCTTTCTCTCTCTCTCTCTTTTTTTTTTTAAATTTACCTGAATGCTCGACTTCCTTTATAAACATAATGTAATGTCGGGAGTGTTGTTCCTTGATGCCCCAGTCCTGCACCTGTGTTCAGCCACTTATAAAAATGAAAGAATGGATGTGAAGGTCAGGTTGACTGTCAGGAAACTTCACAATTGACAAAGCAAAGCACCTAGGTTGGACATCTGAAGGCCCATTTAACTCTTTTGTCTAATTGAGATGAACATTAGCACCTCCATTTGTACCTGTGTTGGCTGTTAATCTGATTACTGAAGAAGCCTCTTGGGTAGAGTGACACAAAGTGCTTACATGAGCCATTTTTCTTTGTGCTTTTAGAATATCCATTTTCCTCGAGGTGGAGAAATGCCATCACTATCTTTAGTGGCATCAGGAAATAGTTCCCTGGCTATCTCCTTAAAGCACGTGTTGGGCTGACAAGCCCCCGACATTTCTTTCACATCATAATGTTGATTGGAGCTTTAATTTAGAACCACAGATCGTCTTTCCTGTGTTCCGCTGATTAGAAACGTCAGCTCTTTTCAACATTCATCAGGCACTCATCAGGGATTCTCAGTGCTACAGAAAAACATTCATTCTTGACAATAAAGAGAAAACTCAGAATTGTTATATTTTTTAATCCTAATGTACAATTATAATTTTGATCCAGTACGAAGTAGCAATTTTCATGCATTTTATTAAAGGAAAAACAAATGTTTGGGTTGGTCGTCATTTAGAATGTTTTCCATTCCCAGAGTCACTCCTCCTTTGTTTATAAGCATCCAGAAAGGGCAACCCCGAGTTCAGCTTAATTGAACATAAAATTTTATGTTTTCAGCATGATGCTCTCTTTTCATAAAATATTTATAAGTAACTTCCAGTAATTGCAATTAAAACAGGATCATCCTAAATTTAACCCCTCTTTAAGTGGAGCACTGCTGCGGATGAAAGAGAGGAAATTGAAACTGAGTCCGCATCACAGAGATGTAGTAGCCTGTGGTTGATTCGAGAGGAAAGTGTTTTTTAGATTAATCTTCTTCAGAAAAAAAAAAAAAAAATTGGAAGAGCAGAGCAAAGTTGTACTCAGTAAACATGGTTGCCACTGCCAGCTTTTACTTTTTTTAGGTACGGCTGGAGAACTACAGAGTGGACCGAGTGCCGTGTGGACCCTTTGCTCAGTCAGCAGGACAAGAGGCGGGGTAACCAGACAGCCCTCTGTGGGGGAGGGGTCCAGACACGAGAGGTATACTGCGTGCAGGCCAATGAAGACCTCCTCTCACACTTAAACACCCACAAGGACAAAGAAGGTAAACTGTCTTCTTCTTCTTAAGGACTTACTCATGGAGATTGAGCATGGAATCACCTTGCAGGAAGATAGATATAGATATAGATATAGATATACTTATAGATATTTGGAACATGAATAGTCATGATTCTAGTCACATCATGGTTGATATCCACTATGGTGAACGCTAATTTAAATTTTCATTTAAAAAAAAATTTTTCAGGGCACCTGGGTGGCTCAGTGGGTTAAGCCACTGCCTTCAGCTCAGGTCATGATCTCAGGGCCCTGGGATTGAGCCCCACATCGGGCTCTCTGCTCAGCCAGGAGCCTGCTTTCCCCTCTCTCTCTCTGCCTGCCTCTCTGCCTACTTGTGATCTCTCTCTCTGTCACATAAAAAAAAAAAAAAAAATTAAAAAAAAATTTCAATTCTGTCTCTGGTCAATTCTAATTTACTGACAAGTCTCTAAATTTTCTTACTGCAAGCTCTGAGTCAAAATTTAGCAGGCGTAATTAATTATAAAAATAGAACAAAATTTAAATATACACATAGAATTCTCATATATATTCTAAAGTCCAGAATTTCCTTGAATGTGGTGTAAAACCTGCTTGTGAAAGAACAGCCCATTTTGCTGTTTGTAATATGGTTGAAAGATAAATATATTGAAAAAATAATGATGGTATTGAGTGAAATTTTCAATGTGAATTTAAATGAAATAAATATGGAATAAGTGCAGTGTACAACTATAGTAAAAAAAAAATAACTGAAAGGCATGACATTTTTTTAAAACCCTCTGTTTAAACCCTCTGACCTGGCAGACATATCTTAGACATTTTTTTGGTCTGAATCTCAATGTGAGGACCAGACTCAGTAAGAGTGCCAAGGATAAGTGAGTGCAACATGGCCCATGCTTAAAGTATGTATTAGTATTTATAAATATTACTCTAAAATTCTAATCATTATTGGATCAAGTTTGTTTTCAGTTAGTTACTCTTAAGTGCCCACAAATAGGAATATTTTTTAAACAATGTTAGAAGCATACCTTCTTACCTTCCCTTGATTTGAAGGATAGCAGGGTTTTTATCATTAGACAGTTTAATAAATATCTATTAGTTGCCAGCAGAGTTCCAAAAATTGTGTAAGGTAGTGAGGATGGAAATATCCGTACAAATTCTGTGTCAAGAAAGTGCTCCTGGTTAGCATGAGGGCACACAAACAAATATAATACAATATGAAATGCATTATAACTTGAGTTTTAGAATAGCAGTAGGGGTATCATAGAAACAGAAACAGAGAGGAAGTGGCCTACAACTGAGTGATAACACACACATTCCATACAGTAAGTGGGTCAGGAATGCAAGAGGAAGTTTATTACAGGCAGCGGAGACAGCATGTATTAAAGCACACCATTAGGGGCTCCTGGGTGGCACATTCGTTAAGTGTCTGCCTTCAGCTCAAGTCATGATCCAAGGGTCCTGGGATCGAGCCCCACATCAGGCTCCCTGCTCAGTGGGAAGCCTGCTTCTTCTTTTCCCCCTGCTTGTGTTCCCTTTCTCGCTGCATCTCTCTCTGTCAAATAAGTAAATAGAATGTTGGATTTGGCAAGTTGTAAATAGGATGGAGTAGTACTTCCCAGCAGATATGTTTGTTGGTAAAGGAAAAAAAATAAGAATAAAACCCCCAAAATGAGAATATTCAGAGAAGCAATCTGATGGAGGACCAGAAGAGAAGGGAAAGAACCAAGAGAAATGGGTGTTTCAAAAAAATAGGAGATGACTCCTCTGCCTCCCCCCAAAATGAGCAGTACAAGTGACCAGCAGTTCATAGAAACAGACACTGAAGTTCTGCATTTGCAACTTGCAAAATTTAATAGTTTTGTAGCTGTTAACTTTACATAGCATGTCAACTCATTTAGGAATCTAGCCTCAGGATACATTTTGCTACTAATGTATCTTGAGGTTGTAAGGAAGTAGCATAAAACATGTAATGTTAGTACATTAATATTTTCTTGGCCATTTTAATGGCTACATTTTTAACACTCTTAGGTGGATTTATTATAGCAGTCCTTTCAGAGTAGTATAATTTCATTGCTAGAGGTAGATCAGATTTTAGTTTCTGAATGTCAATTATGTCCTGTGGGTTATTACTTTCAAAAGATCCTTCAGAATTCTGAATTGCAACTGGCTATTTCTTTTTTAATCATTTTGCCACAGAGTCTCCCTATCACTGTCAAAGCATGGAAGAGCACCAAAAATAAAAGTCACAGTGTAAAAGGAAAACTAAAAGAGTATCATTGTTAAGCTGTGTCTCTTGGACTAAAGCAAATGCCAAAACAAAATCCATGGATATGGAAATAATTGATATGGCAAAAATTAATGTTAACCAATAAGTATATAGGAATTTATGTCCTTTCATTTCAAATAAAAGCAAGAGTACTAGTAAGATCCATGTAGTCTTTGTAAAAACAGTTAATTCTCCCTAAAAGTTGCAGCCTTTTTTTTTTTTGTCAGAACTGAGGCTATATGAACTTCCTTCCAGAAGCACTTAACATTTCCCAACAGGAATATTATTCAATATGCCAGGATCCCAAGGGTGACATGTAAAGACTATAAATTTGTGTGAATGGAGAATAATTAGGCTGTGGGCTGTGGGGATTGTGCACATTCTGTTTTCCTTCCGTAAAAAGGAAAGAATGAAAGCTTACTTTATAAAGAGAGGAAAAGTTCTCAAAATAACTTCTTCAATCAATCCTAATAAGAAGGTACTGATCTCAAGTAATCTTGATTGTGTAACCATGAACAGCCTACCCCAAGAACAATTCATATTGTTGTTAATAAGAAGAACAAAGTCTATGCTGTTGCTTTTGTAGATTCTCACTATGTGTTCCATGAATAAATGTCTTGTTTTCACATGTAACCAAGCTATTAAAAAATACTTTAACCCAAAATAAAGTACTTTAACTCAAAATAAAATTTCCTGTTACAGAAATACTGAAAACAAGTGATAGGAAGTTCACATAAAATTCCTTTATTGTCTTGGCACATCACATTACACAGAAGAATGGTAATGACCACCTTAGTACAAGGACAGGGCCATCTTAAATCACTTTATTCATTGGTGTATTCACTACTCTTCATAGAGTCAAACCACACCATAAAAATTCTCCTCCCTGGAGCTAATATATTTAATTTCCAGAAAATCAAAATATGTATTATTAAAGTAGTCACAAAGTATAATGTATTATATTTACAACCTAGTATCCTACCTCTGTTGGTTGAATTATATCATTAGAATATTCAATAAATTGGTGATTGTGTCTATTGACAATAGGAAAAATGTATCTACTTGATATTGGAGAGTATCCGCATTTTACTCATGGACTGCTGCAGGCCGTAGGTATCCCTTCCAATCCTGACAAACTTTGTCCTACAATATTCAGGTGATCAAAATTCCCACTTCTTTAGAAGAAAAATTTGACAAGTTTCTACTGAGAAGAGTTAGTAGTAAGACCCTGGACAATTTCTGTTCAGCTGGCTGATCAGAATTCCAGCAGACTGTGAAGAATGTTCAGCTTATGATGGCATGAAAACTACCCTTATCAGAATATGACAGGAAGAAGCCTTGCCTCTGGGGAGGTTAGCAGTAGCTAGAAAGCTGATGAAAGTGTTGCTGATCATTGGATGCATGAACATGAATTGATTGTTGAAAGAGCTCAAAGTGAAATGAAAGTAGATTTTAGCTATGGTAATTCAAGAAATTCTTTCTTTTGATACAGATTGAACATGTTTCTAAATGAGGGGAACCAAGAGCATTGGTTATAAAGCACCATGAAACTTTCCGTGATACGTATTTTAGGAAAATTTGGAACATTCTTTTGTAGAAAACGTATCAAAAAATCTACACTGAAATCTGGATAAGGTGTGTGGAATTTGAGGTTATTAAGAAATACAGCCTGGATAGTGAGGCTATATATGACATAAAATAAACCAGCAGGAAGTTTGGAGGATCAGTGGAAAGATGGTTGGAAGGAAGGATGGTTGAACTGTGAATGGGTAGAGCAAGAGATGAATAAAGAATTCTTATTTTCCCATATTCTGCCAAGAAACAGGGGAATAAAATAGTCACCATCTCTAAATGGAATGCAAATTATTTATAATTATAGTCGTTTATCTATAGTTTCCATGAACTAGCCCACTTTAGTCAAAGCTATTTGGGGGGAAGAAAAAAAGGCTATGCTTATGGTGCTGTTTCCCTGTTATTTCAGAAAGTAAATATCAGAGTACGTCGAAGTCTAGTGCTGCACCTTTCCTATCCATCACTTTTGAAATAACAGGTAGGTGAGAACATTTTACATGCCATTTAAATCAGAAATGCGTATCAAAGATTCTCTGTACATTTCCTGAGATAATCCTTAAACCATCCAGGAAAGATAGAAGTTTACTTTCACTTCCTACTTTTCTAGAAATGTATCGAAGATACATTTTGAGATGGAAGTGCTTTCCTGTTTCTTGACTTTCTACAGTATCATTACATAGATGTAAATTTTAGAAAAACATAAAAAGATTTTAAAATTTGCTGGCTTAAAAATGTCAGTAGGATAACATAATTATATATACAGATATATAACATTTGGTTATGAACACTTCTGTTGAAATAAATTAATGAGAGTATGAACACTTTTCACATCATATTTCTAAGTACACCACTTTGTGCTCTCCTAATTTTAATAAGGTAAATGAAAAAGGAACTAAATCATACCATGGCTGCCTTTTGGAGACGGTCTACAAGGATGCAGTCGGATGTAAAAAGCACTGTGATACAATTACAGAATAATTAAAACATAGGATATCCCTGAAAAAGTCAGATATTTCTTGGAAATTACTTCTCAGTATATTTTGTGGGAGAGAAAGACTGTTAACTCTATCAAATTTGTGAGGAGTAGATTACAAAATAGAAAGTAAGATGACAAGAGGTGTCAGCTGCTGGGAAAGAAGCTCATAAAAACTTAACATGCTGGGAATTAG